CCTCCAGCTGCAGACCTGTGTGCCTGCTCCACTCCAGGAGGCATGCAAGAGCAGCAAATGCCCTTCTGAAGAGATTTTTCCCTTCAGGCAAAGATAGAAAGTATGAGGGCACTGGAAGTTCAGGCATTTTTGTGAGTCTGGATGCAAAACCCCATTATTTCTGACCACAAAAACCTTGTGACACCTACTCTGCAAAATATATGCAAAATATTACTGGCAAAGTAATATTTCTTCTGTTATTCTAACCCTGAAGAAGGACTTGTTTGGGTTTTTTCCAAATGTAACATTTATGTTCTTAAAAATATTACCTCTCTCTACAAAGTGGGCTCCTACAGCTTCAGCAAAGCTATTGATGCTTGCTCTCTTCCCATTTGGAGCCAAAAAACAGCAGGTGGAGAACAAGGATATGTCTTGGGCTGAGCCTCCACATTGTCATTCAGAAGACCTAGTTTGAACATTCATCCCGTCTCAGCTATTTTGCGAGTTGCTTAATCTTTGTGCCTCCTTATCTCATCTGTATAGGAGGATAGTAGCTCTTGTGTTCTTCAGGAGCAGAGTTCATTTCTCACTACTGCATCTAGTACGGTGGGAGGCCGATTTAATCTTAACCTGCGCCAACATTATCTGCAGAAGCCGTGCAAGGCAGAGCCAGCTTCTTGGTGACCTGGAACAGGCTGAAAAGTGCATGTAAGAGGTAGGTATCTGCACTGGATTAAAAAAAAAAAAAATCAGAATGAAAGACTTTCTGTCAGTCTAAAGTAACTAGACACTTATCCATGCGAGCGTACAACCAAAGCGTTGTCCAGCCCTTGTTCAAACTCAGTAGGCCAGAAAGTCAAATCGCTTTTCAAAGGCATGTCACACAGTTAAAGGACAAAGGTTCCTATGTACTTGAGGTACAGGGCAGGCAGTGATCCATGGTTCTTTGTAGGAACAGTGACCACAACACAAACTGCTTCAAGTTGGCAAACACAGCTAAATATTAATGACAGCACCTTCGAATACTGCTGTTCAAGAGAAAATACAGAATATGGGATGTGGTGAAACTGGACAGCTGCCTAAAGCAAAGCACATTCCATAATCCACACGTGAAGCAATATGCAGAGGTGAAAATCTGTTATAAATCAGCTTGACAATTGGTCGGATTCATCTTGGAACAGAAAATACCGATGTATGTGTCAGTGTGGACAATACCAAGTGTTCAAACATCAGGATCCCATTTCCCAAAACCATAAGACTGTTTTCAAAAAAGCCCTAAACTAAATAAATGTTTGTGATTGTTGTATTTTACTTCTAATGCTGCCCTCAGCTTCTGTTTTCTAACATTCTTCACAATATTCCTTCAGACTGAGACTCCTACGTAACCCCCTGAATCCAGCAGCTGGAACATAAAGTAAGAGCAAACAAACAGCTATTATTAACTGCCACAGACAGCAATATGATTAACCATGAATATCATTAGCGTCTCTGTTAGCACACAGTACAGAATAATAAGGTGGAACAGGCCAAATGTATGATAATCTCAGATATCTTTCAAAGCCTAGAATAATAGGGAGAAAAGTCACTCCACGATGAACCAGAAACTTTATCAACATATTCAAACAGGGAGAATTTCCATTTTTCAATGCCAAAAGAAATAAAGCAGAAAGTGAACTGATAATATTCACATATGGAAGTTACTTAAAACTTAAACTGATCTGTATGCTGGGTTATTTGTAACTGAAAAGCCAGCCAGCTCATGGGTACCCACTGAGGCATGAGATTTAAAGAAAGCTATAAAACAGGAACATTAGCAGCAAAAAGCTTTCGAAGATAGCTTAACTCTCAGAAACAAAGACATTCTCAATCTGAAATGCAGCGCCTGTGGTTTTTGCCACCCGAAGTTAGATTATTCAGGCTCTAAGGTAGTGATTTATTTGGATGTTATACATTTAAATGAACACCGTTTGACATTCATTCTGTCCCCAAAGCACTTCAAAGAGCTAACTGCACTGATTTTTGAGGGATTACAAAGTGATGAAGTTTTCTTGGATGAAATTTTAATTTGAACAGAAGCCTTAAAACAGTACAATGAAATACTGATTTTTTTTTTTTTACTGACACAGACACAAAGTCTCCTAACATTAAATTTTTAATATTACATACTAGTCTGGAAAAAGCTATTTGTAGGGTCTGCTCAACTGCTTCCAACAGTGATTCAGGTAAAAGAAAGTGATAGTTAAATATGTATATCATAATGAAATAAGGAACATATCCTCACTGTGAGAGTGATAAAGCCATGCAAGCTCCTGCAAAGAGAAATACAGCATTTATATGCTGTTCTCAGCATGAAGCAGATTTGTCAAACACAGGTTAGTCAACTTAATCTAAGGTCAACAATGGATATTTTACAGTTTGTAACGTATAGGAGAGGAGATTATGTAATCCAAATGCATAAATTCTAAATATATACAGGTTTAAAGGTACAGGCAAAATCCAGTTCATAGTAAGAGATGATTGTACGTTCCTAATATAAGTCAATAAACTGATCTTGTTTAGCACCGCAGGGAAAAGATGTAAGCATAGTTCTCTATTACAGTCAAAGAGCAAGGGAAGAATCTGCACCTGTGTCTGCAGGAGCGTGACAGGTATCAGCTGTACCAAAGTCACCCGGACAGAGACACGACAGACGCTATTATCACCGTGTCTGCCAAGAAGACCAACCACAGCTGAAGCCCGAACACAGTTAGGAGAAACATTAATGATCATGCCCCGAGAAAAGCTGCCAGATCCTGTTAAAAGGAGCTGAAGAAATATAATGTATTAATAATAGGTACATGATTTTACAAAGTGTTAAAAAATCCGTGGCCCATGTTGGACCATGATCTTTGGTAACATCCAAACCTGGCGAATGCGTCGCATCCCGAAGCGCACATCCCTTTAACTTCTTGGTGCGCTAACTAGCTCCCAGAGCCTGACCAGACTCTGAGGTAGGAGACTGTGAATGCAGTTAAAGAAAGGGCCTTGCCTTCCCTCTTCAGCAAAGTGACCCCTGTGCGCTCATTAAATTTTATTTAGCAGGTAATTGCTGACTAAAATCATAGCAAGTCTGCACTCAACCTTGCTGGTCAAAGGAGGCGTTGCCTGTATTATGTTTTTTTGCTACTGAAGGTATTTAATAAGAAGGGAGTCAGATTTTCTGAGACCTACATAATTGAGAGCTTTATTAACTGGCACAACAGAAATAGAAATAGGATAGTATTGGTAATGGTTTACTTTTGAGGTAGAAAAGGGCATATATTTTCCATCAACAGGATAATAAATCAGTGCAGCTTGTACCACTCTAATTTGTTAAACATGTTTTGCGGTGCCAGTAACGAAGGTGTTTTTGCATCAGGTGCCTTCATAAGGCATTTATGAGGTTACACTGTTCTGACACTAAGCATGTGTAACAATGTATTAGGTGATCCTAATAAAGTTAAATGATGCAAAGGTAGTGTTTAACCAGTAGAATAAGCTAGCTTGAATATACTATGCAATATGTAACAACGAACAGCTTACAAAGAACGTGTAAATTGTATTTTAGGGGCTAAAAGAGAACATTTGACTGATGAGGTATTTTCATAAACGCTTTCCCCACGGTACAATCACTGGCAGCTATCATTTATCTCACTCTGACCAAGATAAAGGTAATGCGAGTACACAAGCAATAACAAATCTTCTGCTGACTAGAATGCTCTCTAGTGCTCTCTTCAATTTCAGCAACAGGCTATTAACTCATTGCTGGTTCAGCTTCTCCTTTGCAAAAATACAACCTCCTCATAACTTACTTAGCTTTCACACAACTGGAGGAACAAACCTGGCAGGGAACTAAGAGCTAAGCAAGCTCTATCTTCCACTAGCTACTAACAGAAAACAAGAAAATGGAGAAGTGCTCTGCATTACACGCCCAGCGATGGTCCCTCCGAATCAATCAAAAAATGGTTCTGATAACTGTAAAAGGAAAATTAAGGGTGAGCAGCAACACGCTGAACAAGCAGTAAATGGTTAACACTCCCCAGCCCTGAAGCCAGGAACGAGCACGGAGTAGGTCTTGCCCAGAGAAGTGTATTAGCACCATCGCACCGGCAGATACTGACACAGGATGCCGGGATCCACCCAGGGAGGGATTCGGAAGAGAATGGACAATAAAAAGGCAGGCATTGAGGTGGCATCTGCAGAGGCTGGAGAACAATTTCCAGAGAATGAATGCCTTTTAATGAACCGAGGATTAACTGTTATCTGTCACCACTAGAGATCATTACTATGAGGAACAATGAGAGCCGCTTGTATCGCTTTCTCCCTGCAGGACACGTCTGAGGGAGAATAAACCTCTCTCCTTCTCCAGTGTCAGCTTGTTACTGCCAGCACTGGCTGTAAGTGAATAAGCTTTATTCAGATGATAGCTAAATTTAGCAGATATTAGCATCAAGTCTCTAGAGGGGCCAAAACAGGGGAGGAAAGCTTTAAATAAAGACTAAAGTAATACTAAATAATAGATGCAATTTATGGCAGAGTGAACCTCTGTGCCCAAGGAGCCTGGCACAGAGTTCCATCTGGGTTTTGGGGCCTCGCCAAGACAAAACACGACACCGCTGCTGGCCGTCCCCTTTCCGCACGGCCTGTATTTATTATTATTCCTGTGATGGCAGGGGCCCCTCACAGCCCTGGCCCCACTGCAGTGGCTCCATGAAGGTGTAACACAGAAGGCCTGCGGGCCAGCTGCCGGACCACGGGAGAAAGGGGCGATAAGCAAGGGCCACTAGCAAGAACCCGGCAGAGCCGCTATGGGCGACTCAAGCCCCGGACGGGCCTGAGGTAATCCCCACACAACATGGCGCCACAACATGGCGCCACGGCCCTTCCCGCCCAACCCGCGTGGCGCCGGAAGTGTGGCACGGCAGAGACGGAAGTGGCGTCGCGCGCGGGCGGAAGTGTGGCGACGAGACAGAACTTGGCCACCGGCGAGGGGGTGTGGGGTCATGTCGGCCTCCCTGTTGCGGCGGGGCCTAGAGCTGCTGGAGGCGCCGGGTGGGCCCGTGGGGACCGGGGGACGTGGGGGCGGGGAGACGGGGTTGTTTCCGGCGTACGGCTTGAGTAACCCCGTCCCTCTTCCCGCTGCAGGCCAGAGAAAGGCCCTGCCGGGTCTCCAGCGGGGGCAGGAGGGCCCCAGGGCAGCGGGAGCTGCGAGGCGGAGGAAGAGGGCGCCGGAGCCCGGCAGGAACAAGGCCACGGTCAAGGGCAGAGTCGTCAAATCGGCGATAGGTGAGTCCCGGCCCGCCTCCCTCCGGTGGGGGGGGAAAGCAGCTTTGCCGCCCTCCACAGCCCTCGCACCGGGTCCCCTCGCGGTGTCCCGCAGCCGCCCCCCTCCCCGACGCTTGTATCCATCCCTTCCCGTCCTCCTGGGTGCACTTCTGGTGTCCCACACTTAAACACAGCCTGATCTGTGGAAGCACCCCTATCCCTGAGCTGTAGCAGTGTCTCTTTCTCCTGGGGCCTTTCTGATCCCTGTGTCTCTCCTTGTGTGCTGCCTGGATGGGCAGCTGATGTGTTTTGTTCCACTCTGCTCTGACCTAGAGGAGTATCACAAGAAGAAGGCCGTGAATCACTTGAGAACAAACCTGCAGTACATGTTGAAGGGACAATTTGTTGCAGACAAAGGCATCACAGAACAAGTAAGACTGTTACTTCTTTGTTTGGGGGTCTGCTTCTGCTGAGGAATGCAGGTGAATGGGAATCATCCCCAGGTCTTCCAGCTTAGATCCTGTCGAAAGGAGTCAAGTTTCTGTCTGGAAGTGGCCTTAAGAAATTTCTGTGTGCACTGGCAAAGCAACTTACTAAGCTTTAAACTCTTGTTGATAAGTTGTCCCCTGTGATGTTCTCTGATACTAGTTAAAATCTACTGACAACTGTTGGCTTTTCTTAAATTACCAAAGATATTTCATAGCTTCAGCTGGCAAAGAAGCCCTGGTTCAGACCTTCTCCTTACTGTTCATTGATTTGTCCTTCTCTGTAGCTGGAGGCTGTTTAGCAAGGAACCAGATGGGCTGCTGGCTCATGTAACAGAAATTTCATAGCATATTGAATGATGTTTCTCATAACCTGAGAATTTAGCCAATGATCTTCCCCAAAAGGTAATCCCGTGCCAGGATTTGAAGAGAATAGCTGACAGCACTAGAATCTTGGGCTATTTTCATGAGATAGGGGCTTTTAATTTAAACAAACCAGGTGGTTCAGGCCAGTGTTTCTCAGGCTGGAGGTTGTGAAAGGAGGTGATGGTGTATTAGAAAATGCTGAGGGAATTCCACCAACTTGTTGGGTTTTCAGGTTGTCTGGTGGAGAGACAGGATAAAAGAAGGTCACAGTTTCAGAAACATCTGAATTGAAATCAGTGTTTCTATCTCTGTGACAGTTACCAGAGAGTAGTTTTCGTATTTGGCTCCAAATAGTAGGTTGGTATTTGCTGTTGTCCCAGTGACCTGCTTTAGTTGACATTGGTGACTGCCTCTCACTTTTCTTTGGAGGCATTCCAGGATATAGCAGGGTACCAGCAGAATAGCAGGGATGCTTGAAAATAGCAGGTGAGCTTGAAAATCACCGTTTTGTGGTTTGGTCTTGCTAACAATGACTGACTGTTTTTTCTTTTTTTTATTGTCTCAAGGTTCTTGCTCAGAACAGAGGCAGGAAGTCCAAAGATCAGCCTCCAAAGAAGGCGGCAAAGAAGAAACCCGAGGGCACTGTCTTTACAGAGGAAGATTTCCGTAAATTTGAGAGAGAATACTTTGGGAGACCGTAAACAACGTGACAGGGATTCTCGCAGCTCCAGTCTTTCTGCAGCTGAGTGTTCAGCACGCAGGACTGGCCGTTTCCTCAGCACGTTTGAGATGGGACACAGGAGATGTGCCTCTGTCAGCAAGTGCTTTAATGTCACACTTGCAGAGAAACTCTGCATCTGTGCAGAACTTGTTACGAGCCAGCTAGAGCCATGGAGGTTCTCTTGGCTCTGAGATGTGTTGTTCTTATAATCTCCAGCCAACATCTCTTGCATTCTTAATGTAGAAGGGTGGACCAAGCCAAATATAAACCTTGTTCCCCTTCCTCAGGATGTAAGGCTTCTGCTACCTGTGTTATTTGGCAGGGAGCATTTAAAGCACTGTATCTGAACGGAGAAATGTTTTGGACCAGCAGTAATAGATCATCGGAAGGGAAGGATGCTTTGAAAGACTGTTAAACCTGAGTAGCCTTGCAGTTTCTGTTGTTAGAGCCTCTGTCAGGTTTTTCAGTCATTGCAAAACCTTTGTATATGTCGTTTGATTAAATAATCGTTGCAGACACTGCCTATCTTTGCCTTTGTAATAGTGATTGTTATGACAGGCTACGATTGATGAAGACAAACTGTCACTGTTCTGATCCAAGCATCCCTCTCTTTAGGATGACTCAGTTGTGTCAGTGGCTTCTCTCTGATTCATGTTGACACATGTATTTAATCTGACATGCTCAGGCCTTCAAAGAGGGCAGGCTGGAATGGAGATGACTCCTGTTTTGCCTACTCATGGTCTCCCCTCTCCAAGGAAGAGGGCTTACGTGGAGAAAGTTGACCTCTGGATGCTTACATCTGCGCCTCCCACTGAGGTTCAGCCACACTAGGAGGGCACCGCTGCTGGGTGCTGCCACCTTCTGTAGCCAGGAGGGATTGTGACCCAGATGTTAGCCTGGTTTAGCCCAGATGTTAAAATCTTCTGAGCCAGAGGTTGTGGTGCTGGGTTGAAGGGCATTTTTTTTTTGTTAGACTATGCTGCAACAAATAGAAGGCCCAGCAGGTGGGAGTGTTGTTCCAGACACTCTTCGTTGCTAAATCACTGTAAATACGCTTCTGGGGAGCTCCTGCCACTGCCCTTTCCTGCCCCTTACCTAAAAAAATGCAAAGTGCGTTCCCTTTGGGAAAAAAAGAGGTAAGGAGAAGGACTAATGCCAAGCTTTGGTTAGACTCAGGAGCTGATTACAAGGGGCTTGGCTGACCTGAGCAGCAGCTGCCTAGATGTCAGTACTGGAGGGAATTTGGTATCCCTTCCTTGCCCTCTCCTAGTGCCGTCCTCTTAGGTCTGCGCCTCCTCTGTTGTGTTCTTTCCCTCTTGTCTGCATGGGAGGGAAAGTCACCCAGACGTATGAGGTCCAGACAGGGGAAATAGTGAACATACTGAAGTGTGTGTACTTGAAATTGTGTAATAACACGTGGGAGGGGATTTCTGGTAATAGGATCAAGTTCATCTCTCTGCAGCCAAAAGTGGTAAATACAGAACAGTTCAAAGACCAATTTCCTTCTTTTTCAGTTTGTTCTTGCTCCCGAAGTTAAAAACAACATGTAAAAAAAAGAGAAGGACTGTTTGCTGCTTAAAAGAATGAAAACACTATTGTTTGAAAAAGTAGTTAAGCAAAATGTGTATGCAGCATGTCTCCCTAAAACCTCTGCACTCTGTGCCTGCTGCAGTGAGTGCGTGAGCTGGTCTAACGTGCAGCTGTCTGTGAAGCTGTCATGGAGACAATTAACAGTGTCAAAAAGCTGGCTCTGCCACAACTTGACTTTTGAAAGCGGTAGATTTCTGGGGTGTTATGTTGTTTTAAGCCTTCATCTTCAGTACTTGGCAGTTCCTTTGACCTTACAGAGGTCCTTCACGTCACCCCTGCACCTCCTCCACCAGTTCCTTCTACGCACCGTTGTTGCTTGTGGTTGTTCAGCTCCTGCGCCCTTCTTCTGCAGGCTGAGGAAAGCAAAACCATCCTTTGTTGCTCCAGAAAGGAGCACTAGGGTAATGTGGTTCACACTCTTTGTACAAAACCCAGCTTGTTTGCTTGCAAATGTAAGCAAACAGGAAAGCTGCTCTTTCAAAGTTAATGAGGAACTTTAAAGTGCAGCCCAGAGCGGTTTTCCCCAAGGATAACACCCCCCTGTGATCTGTGGAGTTTTAAAGTTGGATGGGAGCTTTCATTACTGGCTGGAAAGACCAGGGCCAACACAAGTAATCAACATACTTCTTGTGGCTGTATGCAATAAGGCGTTGTATTGTTGAAGAGGGTAAAGGTACCGGACAGACTGGATTTTGCCATCTGAAATCAAACTTCGTTGCACAGCCAACTGTATCCTTAAATAAATTAAACTTTATCTTGTGGGAGAAAAGAAAACCAAGCAGAAGTGAACGGGTGGCTCTAGATAAACCATCTTCTGCAGGAGCAAAGATCTGACATGTTCTAGCCTTGATTTTCCCCCTCTCTAGCAGAGCTGGAGCTCCTACAAAAGAACAGCAGTGCCGCCTGCACACTGGGTAAAGAAGGACAGGAGTTAACCCCTGAGGGGAACGTCTTCAAGCTAGAGGGGGGAATGGGTACCAGCCTGTTGCACGTCCCTGGTGGTAAGCTAAAGCTAAGCATCTTCCTATGTGCCCAACCGTCTATGTTACGGTCTAGAGCATGCCAGCTCCTTGGCTGTGCTGGGACCCCGGGAGGTGGCTATCCTACAGCAACTTGTGCCATCTCTCTGTTCCTTGCAGCCAGACTTCGCTGCCCCACGAAAGAGAGAAGAGGGGGTCAGGGAAGGAGCAGCTGCCATAGCTGCTCTTCCTACTTGGCCTCCGACCTCCGGTTCCCATGCTGGAAGCTAACACGCTGTAGTCCGCAACCCTCAGAGCTGCTGGACGGCATTTTTCTCCCGCGCAGCTGCAAGCGGCGGCGCAAGGAGGCATCCCACTGCTGCAGGGCGAGGGCCGCATGCTGGCTGAGCAAATCAGGCTGCTGGCTGAGCAAATCGGGCTGCTGGCTCTCTTCCCAGCTCTGCGACACCAGCTGAGCACCCTGCAGCAGAAAATAGAGGTAGCTGAGCTAGGGAAGAAGGAGGAGGGTGCCATCTTACAGTACATCCCCACCCACATGCAGCAGGGAGTCGGAATGGGAGGCGGCAGCAGCAGCTTTAATATAAATGCAAATAAAAGCTCTGGAGTGTTATTAATGTGGTTAAAACCTTTTCAGGGAAACGGTTTAGAGGAGGCAGAATAGTTCCCAGATGCTCAGTGTTGAACTAGCTTACTGTGAATAAGATTCATCGGGCCGGTTAATGGCCTGTTGCTCCCTCTGTAATGTGAATGGAAAGCACACAGGAAAATCTTGTTCAGAAGGCTACAAGCTAATGTTAAGTCGATACAGCCTCTGCTGTATCAGCAAGTCTTTACTTCTTCAGTCTAGAAAGCAATAACAGCTAGTATCGGCGTTATATGTGTATCGGGAGGGAGGAGGACTGCAAATGTAAACCAAGAAAACACGTTTGCTCAGGACAGTGACCAACTTCTTGCCTCTGAAATGACATAGCAATAACAAACCTGCCTGCGAATGAACAAAGACAGACTGTAAAACTTGCTCAGGCAAACAAGACTTGAAATGCTGGAAAAGCTGTGGGGGAAAACCAAGGGGGAGGGTCCTAAAAACCTTTGGGAATCTCAGTCTCTGGTTTCTTTTTCATGACTGACTTCCATTTCAGTCTTGCTGATGACCAACACAGCATCAGCACCTACAATGCTGACGGGCTCCTGAAAGCCTTGGGCAAGGGAATGGTTATTGTAGAAAGGGTGCACAGCAGCAGCACCCCGAATAACTCACAAAAAAAAAGTTACAGCAAAAGGAAGTTTCTCATTTTGAGACAAGACCCATCAATTCAATTAAAAATGAGGAGTGTAAAAGAAGGCAGGCTGCCTAATGCCTGCTTACCGCTCAAAATGTGGAACGCCAGCCAAGCCAGGCTGAAGGGTTAGTAGGTTTGAGACAGATTAAAGGTTTGCATGTCTATCCATAGTTACATTAAATAGGATTAACAGTGCCAACCACCAACTGGTGGGGGCAGGGGAAATAAAAAGCATGAAGGTTGCTCTGGAGCTGTCTACAGGGTTACACGCACCTTTTTCTGAACGAATTAGCTGTTGGCAGGGCTAACCAGTAATCTAGCCAAGCTGGTCTGTCCTGAGCTGCACCGTTTATGTGCCAGCAAGTTCATTTATCTCTTTTAATGGGAGGCAAAGACTAGGTCTCTTTCTCCAACTGTCTGCACGCTGCAATGGAAACGCAGAGGAGTTACAGAACGAGGAGATTCTCTGCCCTATATAAATTAAGCTGACGCATCTGCTGCGCTTGGAACTCACTCCCTGCCATTTTTTAAAAGGGTGTGTACGTGCAAAAGAGAGGAAAAGAGCAGCTGAAGGAGAAATGAGAGGCAGCTAGCCATTACTTGGAGAACAGGCACCTATGTAACAGGGAAATTGGAGCTTGTGGGTAGAGCCAGCTTCATTCGGTGGCTTGTGACACGGCATGAGCGTACTGAAAATAATGCAAAGACAGCATACCTGGGATACCTCAGCAGCCAAAATAGTATTGCCTAGGTTGGAGGACTGAATTCCTCTGTTTAATTCACAAGGCCCAACTAAACAGCCTGAAGCGTTTCAATAGGAAAGTCAGCAAAGATGAGCTTTTTTGGCCCAGCCAGGGATGCTTACGGTAAGACCCCAAGACTCTCTTTGCACTGGAAATGAAGTGTAACAGGAGTATATGTGCTGGGCTGCATGGCAAGGCTGTGAATACATCGGGAGGACAGAGGAAGGTAGGTTGTCTCCAGAAGCTACTTGAACTGTATTAAGGAAAAATTAGTATCCACAAGATGGAAATTATGTGTATAGGAAGGACAATATAGATCCTGTTGTTTCTGAAGGCCTAAGCCTATGGAAAGATAAAGAAAACTGCTGTTATTCTGACCAAAAATGT